CTGAAATTCCGCATTTTATCAAGAAGTGTTTAATTTTCTATTTGAAAATGGATTGTTTTATATATATTTATAAATTTATTTATAATTTATATAATTTATTTATTTATTTATAATTTATAATTTATATTTATATTTATTTATAAATTTTGCAGAACACTGAAATGTCCTATCTCTACCTAGAAAGTGCTCACCCCTCCCCGTTGGAGGGGTGTCGCCATCGCCTAGTGGTAGGAGAAATTGTGGTTAAAATTTCTAACTAAAATGAATTGAAATCGAACGGTAACAAGCTTGACGTGAGAGTGTTTGTGTTGATGCTAGTTATATTAAAGTATTTACTAAATTGATTTACTTATTACTACTTACTTACTTAAGTTCGACTTATTGGCTCTTACTGATTGGACTCGGCTACACACTACAAAGGCAAATCTGCATACGTATATCATTTATATATTTATATTGTGCAATTGTTTCGTTAGCAATGTAATGTCGAATTGGTCTCTGAATTAACATGTTGGTCTGGGTGGGGTATGGTTTGTTTGTCATATTTTATGATTTTCAGAGTGATACAGCTATGTATACCAATCAATTATGTATCACTTTTAATGTACAGTACACTCAGCTATCTCTGGGGACTGATATAAACGCTGAAAAACGAACGAACAATTAACGTGATAACAGAACTCAGAGGGCGTACTACAAAACTGTCGGCGTGTTGAACAGAACTCACTGCGAAAAGTTAGCTATACATAGTGTTTAGGTTGCATCAAACGTCAAGACCTGAATACATAATTCCCTCAAGTTTCTGAACGTACAACTGTAAAATTGTTTAAGTTTGCGTAGTTAATATAGATGTTGTCATAGTTACGGCGAACAACTGATAAATAACTTGAAATAGGTTTGTTCACACCATTCACTAAGCACTACTATGTGTTATAAGATAATAAGCTAACACAGTGCTTGTTTCGACCTGCTTGTTTAGTCAAAATATAAAACTTGGTTCTGGTTAGGGTAACGCATGATCTGTCGATCAGATGACTACAATGTGACATCATGCAGAGAATATTTGACGATTCACCAGAGACGAATCTTTATGAATCAACAAATTAGTCACCTGTACTTTCATCCATGACTTAATCCACCATAATTCTGCCCATAATATTAATGACTATTTCAAACCTATCCATCATTCATATCAAACCAGACAACTTCACAATCAAAATCTTTTTGTTGAATATACCCGTACAACATTTGGCCAGTTTTCGATGACATACTCAGGTGCAAAAAATATGGAATAAAATCCCGGCTGAAATTAGGTCAATTATCTCACGCAGTTCGTTAAAAAAAATGATTAAACAATAATTATTGGCAGAAAACTAGATACATATGATTTTGTTTGCCAAGTTGTTTATTTATTCATTTTTTTTAACCTGATTGATTTTTCCAAAACTTATTTTCTTAGACTTAGACGTTCTGTATGGCATCAGGTTAGTTTTGGCGGTACCACATTCGCGAATGTCCTACGATGTTTGGTGCCGGTGGTGGTGTCGGCAAAGCGTGATGCCATACAGACATATTTGTTCAGTTGTTGATTAATAAGCTATATGTTTATTCATTACCAATTTGTATTAACTTTCATATTCATTTGTTTAGTTATTTATTAATTTGGTTAGTTAATCTTCATAAAATAAATAAATAAATAAATAAATAAAAAAAATAAAATAAAAAAATGCGCGTTAGCGAATTTCATTCTAACGCGAAATCAAATAAGGAAACCAGCTGTCCGAGGTGATCGCCGGCATTCGGGCTACCTGAATGTCATCAATAAAATGTACATTTATGTTTACAGCAATTCGTGCGAATACGTACTATCTCTGATATTCTAAATAATACTCCCAATGCCACAACAAAGTTCCACAAATGTGTAGCTAGCATAGGAGCGCTATATTGTGTTTTTTGTGTCTCTCCCTATATCTATGTCTCTGTGTGTGTTTTTTTAAGATGCAAAGTTAATTGACGAAAACCCGTGGTGAAAACACGTACTTATGATTCACCATGAACTAAACACGTGGTGCTTTGCAGAACACAGCTTAGCATTCGTTCTAGGAAATACTGAATAACAATAATACGCATGCGCGCTGATTTTTCTGATACGTACAATAATAATCGACAGACATGCGTATAAGTGTAAATTCATAGTTCATGGAATGAATTTTTTGTGTGCTGCGTTTTTTTTACCATAAATCATACAAGGATGTGTTTACCAGACTGCAGTATCCAAATGATTGCATATTTTATATCCATATTGCATATTAAAATTGTAAAATATCTAAATAGTTGCTTCCCCCAAATTCGTGCATTTACTAGAGACTGTTTTGGGGTTTGCGGACACGTTTTTTTTTAATGTGACAAAACAGCGTATACAAAAGAAATCGCAATAGTAAACTCCACCTCACCAACCTGACAAAAAAAGCATACATGCATATTTTTAATACAAAATACTATGATAAGTGGTTGCAGTCGATACATTGAAAGCATTTATCGGTCAATATATTAGAGAAGCAATGTTGCGAATGTAGTAAACAATAATGACACAGCTTGAAATAGGGTGTATTACAGGAGTTTCGTGGCACGCGATACACTGATGTATGATGTGTATTACAAGGTCGCATAACAGTGGCGTACCTTGGAGTTGAGCCTATTGTACAATGGAGCTTGCTGTGCTTAGATACATTCATCTCAAATGCACGTATTTATGTATAACGTAGCTCAAAACGATTACAATATAAAGCGTAGAAAAGTTAAGTTGGCGTGACGGAGCTTTATTCAGTTTCATTCTCGTGCAAATGATGGTACATTTCAACTTACAGTAATGGGCTCTCGTCATATGAATATCGTACGCGATAAATGCAAATAACATATAAAAGTGGAACTGTTTAGTGTCAAAATATGTTTTAATTAACTTCAATATTCAGTGTACGAAAAGTGCGTAGAGCAGTAAATATTCACATAAATGGTGGCCACCTAATTTTTATTTCGTCTATTTCCATTCGCTAATTACTTAGGCATACAATTAAATGTCTTCACTTTCCCAATTTACTAGGTGATAAGTATTTTTATTTAAGTTATTATTTTATTCTAGAGACGGCACTTATTATTCGGGGTAGGGCTCTTAATGTGTTATTGATTTACTGACTTTTCAGGTCATCGTGAGAGTGGAATAAAACCATATCCGCACAGTCACGTGTTTTTATAATCATCCAGTGGTTTATTTGTTATCAATGAATCATCTTATATCATAGGTTAATGCACTCTTCATTGAGCAAACACACTTTAAAATACCAGAAAAAAATCAAGTCTATTAAAGTATTGTTAAACTTTTGCTCTTAAAAATTGGGACTCGACGTGAGCGCCCGACGGAACTGAAGTGCTTAAGCGACCGGGGCACTGAAATACACAGTCGCAGTCAGTTTTTCCTGTTAGTCTCCTTACTGTTAAAACCCCGACCACCATAAGATATGGTATTTTGCCAAGTTACTAAGTTTTTTTCTTTTTTTTTTTTATGAAAATGTCAGCCGGAGTCACCAACTGTCTCTGGCGTCGGCCGATACAAACAGTAATATAGTAGAAAAATACAGGCCCGTATGATGAAAGCACCACAAAGTACGTAACTTTTGTAACGCATACCTTAAAATTGTGCGTCGCAACGAACATTAGGTACACTTGAATGAAATGATGAACATATCCTAATTAACAATAGAAGTGAAGTTACTAAAAAAAATGGCGTCCAGGAGCTTGGCAGCTTCAGTAAAAAAAAAATACGGATTTTTTTAATGCGATTGAAAAATCTATCTCAACTACTAGTATATTTGCTAAGCTGCGTTTTCGCCCTGTACAGTATCGGAAAAACTCGGAAATTTGTTCTATCTGGCGGACATACCGAGAAACTTTAATATACACGCATTCGTTAATGGTCTCTACTCTACTACTGCAATTCTTTCCAATATGTCATACCACATCACCTAGACATAATTCAATCGCTATAGAATGCCGCAGCTCGTCTCATTAAGCGCTCTGGTAAATCTGATCACATGACACCACTACTCAAATCTCACCCTCTGGCTCCGTGTCGAGTGTCATATTAAGTACAAAATATGTCTAATTTTTAATTTAAATTTATTGTGACGTCATTATAAACCATCGCGTTACGTAACTTGAGGGCTGAAATTCCAAATAGTGAAAACGACGGAAATCGGAAATAATAAGAGTACAGGAAATAGTACGTAATTATTTGGAATTTCAACCGTCAAGTAACTGTACATCACGTAGCTAAGGTCATCGGATACTACTACTCGTGCCATTGGTCGTTACTACCATGGAGCTAAAAAAATCTGTTTTAGATCCATGTTTCTACTAAGAAAACTTATGGCGGCGAGCATTTTCGATTGTTACCCCGATCTGTCACAACGTCCGTTTAAACGTTTCCTTTTTACGCAATGTTATTAATTTTCGTTTGTTTATTGTCATTTTACCTCCGCACAGCGTATTGGGTCGTGGTGTGTTACGCTAAATAAATAATAATAATAAAACAAACAAATTCAGAATACAATTTATCTTCCGCCGCGACATGATTATGCAAATTATTTGGACCACGTTTACAATACTATGAGCCAATGAAAAACAATCGTCATTTGCTCCAGGACTTGTAAAAATACCTTTCAGGCCATATATTCATAATGTATTAGTACTAACGCCACTGCTATCGTACTTTATACAGGTGCAACGCGGATGAATCGAGTGACGTAAACATGTGCGTCTTTATTTTTTGCCCGACATAGTCCTAGATGACGTAAACGACCCAGGCATAAAATGATCATTAATGTCCCTAGCACAAACATTTACCATTTATTTTAACGTTGTATAGTCATTTTCTCTCATCGTGAACACCACGCGTAAAGTATCAATGAAACCCTGGAATTGTTGTAGATGACCCCGGAAGCGGAAATACTTTTAGGTATGTGTTTGTATGCGCATTGGGTTGGTGCGCAGTAACACAGCTGCACGCATTGTAACATTGTGTCCATTTTACCTGACTCCATCAGAAAGTTTTCCGTCCCTGGCTTTAAAGTTACTCATCATAAAACCTACCACGCTGGATACAACAGTTGCAAATAATACAGACTGTTTCATGCCAAAATGAGCCTCGTAGGCTGCCCACATTTGAGCAGCTTCAAGGCTTCAAAAGGCACACGACCCTACCGGATAATTCAGTCGTATTTTGTGTACTGCTGTTCACCTGAAAATAGGAAGCGAAAGGTAAGTTGATCGGTAAATCTACGCCTGTACGACAAATTTAATTACTAATAAAATAACACCCTCGCAAAAGCCCATATTTCAACTTCGTTATAGCCGTGCGTTGTTGAAATTCGTTATTATTTTTTTTTCTTTGTGCCGTTCCATGACCGGCTCGCGACCTGGTTTCAGAAACATCATTGCGCCCCAACAAGTTCCGCTGTCAGTGTGACATGTGCCCTTAATTTTATAGATTTGCTTGTGCGGTGATTTTATAAGAAAGATAGCACCAGTTCACAAAATAATAATTTCAATCAATTACGCGGTGTATAACCGCTAACTACAAAGCAAGGCATTTACATCGAAACCGGAAATTGTTGTTGTCGAATGTGTTAATTTTATAACGACACAAAGGTTCTTAAATGACGTATTTCTGTTTATTTCTTAAGTTGACCGCTTGTTTATTTCAATACGAGTGTCGTATACGATTTGTCCAGTAATAATTATTACTTTAACATTCGACAATAAAACAGAAACATTAACACATTCAAAAATACAAATGGTCTACGTGAATGAAACATCACTGACAGCCATCGTACGTGTCCTTGACAGCCTCGTATGCGTCATGTCTTCCGAGCACGTCTTTCTTTCATGCACCACGTACTCTAATCTCTGACACGGTCTTGGTTAGATTTATATATACATCTTTTCTGATCTTGCCCGTAACCACCTTGACCTAATCATTATCTGTTTGCTTCGTTTTCGCAACTGTGCAACTCGGTTGTTTACACCCTGCCGTGTTTCCCATGTCAACAAGGCTTCATCTAAGATATTATGAATAATGTAAAATTGGGGGGGGGGGGCATTTGGTGATTATTTGGTGATTATCTTCTCTTTAAACAATGTCTATGCATATTTAAGAAACACTTATGTACTAACTCTACACATGTTTAGGGTATATTGAACATTGTTATTAACATTGTTACTATTGTTATCAACAGTTTTTAAAGATCAATTTTTTACCTCCAAACCACAACCAAAACTGTATTTAATCTCCATGCTTAGAATTGTTCGCTTGATTTGTCTGACAGTTTTGTGGTAGAAATTTTTTAGTCCCCGTTCGAACGCAGTCCGAAAACGGGGACTTGTGTTTTAACCTCCGTGCGTGCGTCTGTGCGTGCGTGCGTCCAGACCTGTATCTTAGAATGCCTGGACCAATCACAATCAAACTTCACACGTACATCATACATGATATTATACATATGCCACATCAATTTGTTTTACGATCTGATTCAAGATGGCCGAATGACAGCCATTTTTGTGGTAAAAATCAACC